ATGTCCCCAGCTTCAGTTTGGGATTGACATCGGATGATGAGGCTGCCGATGTGACTCCTGTACATGATAGATTTCACCACGTGGCCGGCACAACTCACGCAGTAGATGCTCAAATAGGTACGTGTTATTAGAATTGCATATATCAATGTGCGGGTATCAGCCGTACCATTTTAGTTTGCACGAGAAAATATATATTATACCACTATGTTCATATGTTCAGATAAAAATTTGCAGGTGGCTCACCTGACAAACGTGACAAAGTTGCCGTTGACAAAGAATCGGTAGTGCAAGCCAATGAGCATGTAGCCACATTAACTAAAGGTATACTTGTAAATATATGATATTTGTTTATGTAGCTGTTAAATGTTGTACGTTGTGTGCTTATTCGTTTTTTAATGTTGTCCTTCTTTTTTCTTTTTTTCAGATAAAGCTGTTGTTTTTGATGGTGTTGATGACGTACGTGTGTCTCCAAGACCGAAGAGGGATGCCAACCCGGCCAACGCTCTGAAATCGCCTTATTGTCGGAGGGAAATAGATGTGGTTAAAAAGCTCGACGGTCACGAAGAGATGATTGCCAGTTGGGTTCTGAACGGCGATGTTTCTGATGGGTATGTGCTTTTTTAGTTAGTTATCTTTGAGATTCGTAATTAGTGTAGTAACATATGAGCAATCAGTTTCAATATACATTTACTGTATGCATGGTTTACGATCATGTGCAGCGACGTCATTATATTCCAATCATCAGAATATTCTGCGCGGAAGTCGGTTGTGTCATGTTTAATGCCAGATACCCAGATTACAAAAGAACTGTTGGATTTGTGGTCTGTAATCCTTAACCACAATGAAATATTGAGGAGTCGTGGTGCGGCCACGTGTTTTTTTGCATCCACGTCTCCATGTGACGAGGTATATTAACTTATTCAGAGTGTCCCTTTCTTTCATGTGTTTGGCTGATTTCTCTAAATATGCATACATGTTTGAATATGTCGCGTAAAGTCAATGACGAATGTCCGTTTTGCAGTTGTTTTTTGACGGCAAACGGAGGAAGGACCTGAGTTACAAAAAGTTCGCTCAGTTGCTAGATTCAGAAATTGCACGAATGTCCGATTACGACTTAAAGCAGATTTCGGTGGTCAGTGACCTTTGTCAGCACGTGTTTGTGTTGATGTGTTATTTATTTATTTTTATTTTTTTTTGTTTTCTTATCATATGTATAAAGGAGACAAACAGCTTGACAACTCGGTCTACGGTAACGTTTCATAAACAATGTCTTACCTATGTCTACGTTGCAGTTTTTATTCCTGGTACAATATGGCAAATTTTCGGGATTGTTTTGTGTAGCGCCAAATCTCCAAAAGTTCACGATAATAGACAGTGCCAGTAGTTGTAAGGATACGGCTGTTAAGAGATCCATCATGACACGTGTTGATCTGTTGGTAAGACGATAATACATTCGTGACTGTTGTATGTACACCTGATTGTATGCGTCGTATTATTTATTTATATTATGCTTTGATTTAATACAGCGACAATCACTCTCAAAGTATCTAGGCGAGAACAAACTGGTGAAGAAATCAAAGGTGGTCGCGCTAGCTGTTCCTGACGTCATAGATGTAGCGTGGACAGAAGGGGTTGACGAGGCGGACATTGGATTGTTCACAATGCGCCACATGGAGACGTTCAAAGGTGTTGTCACTAAAGGATGGAATCAAGAGTTGAAGAGGGGCGATAAAGAACAACTGAAGGTCATGAGGAAACGTTATAGTTGTGTCATAGCTTGTGCTCGTAACAACGATGTAAAGGAAGTCAATCTTGCCCAATCGAAGAGATTCCATTCATCACTTATGGTAAATAAGTAGTGTATTCCACCGGTTGATGTGCATTGTTGAACTGCATATGCTGTTGATACTCAGACTTAGTACCCTTATTAGTATCTCGTTTTGTTAGTATATACCCGGACTTGGTACTCTTGCTGTGTATATTTGGGGCAGTTGAACAATTTTAGTGTTTCATGTTTTGATGACATGCTATGAAATGTGGATGGTTGTGTCATGGTTTATTTTGGTGGGAATGTTTTGGGATTCAGTCTATGTATGGAAATTTAAGGAAAAAAAAAAAAAAAACTGTGAAGCTCTATGTTGGTTTTGGGGTGTACATATAATTTATAATGTGCAAGTGTTTCATATATATTGTGCAATGTAAATATCATTGTTGTGCACTACATGACCAATGCATTTATTGATGTATGATATTATTTCATAAAAGTAAATGTCATGCAACTATCGATTTAACTGTACTTATAATATACTTACAATACATTGGGATTATAGTTGTGTGTGTGCATCGACATAGTTGTATTTCATTTGTAGTATGTGTAATATACCGACGTTGAGTGTCATTACAGAGCATCGCACAACGTATTATATATTAATATGCAGCATGAATTGAGTATCGCTTATATCTTATCTGAATATGCCACCGTCATACGAGTATTCTATCTTTTTATTGTTGTTATTTGTTTGTGTGATTGCCTATTTTAAGCTGTTACACACGTATATACACAAAATGTAGTGGTCATATAATTTTTTCCACATACGTACACCGGTAACAATGTTTACAAAAAAACGTATCAACGCAAGAAATGCAGGCTATATATAATGTGCATATTGTTTAAGTGTAATGTGCAATCTGTGTGTATTGTTGTGCATGCAATCCGAACCCGATGCCGATATCAGATATATCAACACAATAATAATACCCTGTATATAATGTGCATGTTGTTTATCTGTAATGTGCAAAAAATTGTGTATTGTTGTGCATACAACCTAGAAACGTACTGATATTAGATATATCAACATACTAATTATTTCACGTTACGTATAATGTGCATGTTGTATATCTATAATGTGCAACCCGTGTCTCTTGTTGTGCACGCAACCGGAAGCCATATTATCGATACTAGATGAATAAGAAATGAAAAATTGTAATATCAATGCGATACGTCTTAGAAGTATTTCAACCCAAATATTTGCAATGGCATAAGCAATGTTTGAAAAGATCGACATGTAATATGGAAAAATAGTCAAACTATAACGTGATATATAAACAAAATAAAAGTGTCGTCCTTCAACGTGCAGTTGGGTTCTCTAGCACTTCGGTGCCTGCATTTGTAGATTTTTTTTTTGGAATTATTTTACACACCTGGTGATCGAATACAACATTTGACTTTCAACTATGCACACAAAATAGTCATAAGTAGTGCAAAGTGAAGTCATAGACATTTGAGATGTGCGAGTGTGCGACTAACGGTTATGTATCAGTATTCTAACTCATATTATTAAATAATGTTACCTGAATGTTCGAAGAAGCGATTTTGATGCTATCAACATATCAGCAATTGTCCTGCAATTATCACAATATATATAGAAAAATTTATGTCACGAGCATAGACGTAAGATTCATATACACACGTGCACACTGAACGTTAAACTCGGATTGTGTTTTACCTCTGGTAGCTGTTTTTTAGGGCAAGTTCGTGCGTTGTGTCCTGCTCTCTCCCCACACGACTTGCAAATTCTTCGTTTTTTCTGTGAGTTTTCAATCGATTTCTCCTTGTCGGATTTCATCCTTTTTCCACTACCCTTGTTTTTTGATTGCGATGGAGGGTGAATGCTTATTGATTGTGGCGTTGGCACGCCAACAAATGAATCAAACCTTCGTGCTTTGTCAGTGCCTGTACTTGTTGACTCACTATCCTGATGTGTCATGAGTTTACTCTTGTATTCTCCAATAATATTGGAGAACTCAATGAGTCGGTCCAAGTTTGTCTCAGACAACCCCATGCACACGTGAATATCAGACCACAACTTATTAACCAGCAACTTAGTTTCATCTCGTTGTGCACATTGATTGAAGACATTATCGTCTATGATGAACATAGGATTACTGAACGCGAGTTTCGTCCACCTTGACATGACGTATGCTGGTGGAACTATCTCAATGTTTAGGTCTCTATACACAACAAATATGTGCCGACACAACCATCCATAAATCTCAAAGTGTTTACACGAGCATTGTGATGTATTAAGACCCACATCGTGAATTACTGTAAAGGTTTTCCCGTCACTATCTCTGATCATAAATGTGGTGTGACCGTCATTTTCAGTAATCTGCATAACCCGACATTTGTAACACGCGTCACATATTTCATTTTGCACACGATAAAATATTGTTGTCGTGTACAAATCCAAGGCAGGCTTCTCAATGGACAAAGGAGTTTTTAACTGGGCCGTATGCGTTTCACTATCACACTGTAACTTCATCGATGTGTTCCGTTGTGCATCCATTGCACTGTCAAAATGTAATAAGAACTCGACCAAACTAGAGTGACTATTCGTGAAGCTACTAAACCAATTATTCTCGCTTCCTAGACGTAGTCCTCATCAGCCCACTCATACTTACATCTCTAAAATATGCCGGTATCTAATGCTCTCTCTTAGCAAACAAATCAATAAACCAACTGTGGGTTTCCAATGAATAGTCGTGCATTATTTCAGCCCATTTGGATTCAAAATCAGCAGGCTCTATGCGACGACACCAAACAATTTCATTTAACCTTTGTTTGAAATTGGTGTCGTTAGTTAAAGAGTACCCGACCTTATCACATAACTTATTCATTATATGCCACGTGCAAAATCGGTGTCTACTAGTCGTGAATACCTTGGCAAAGGCGATTCCGATAGAGGGATCCTGGTCAGTAATCATATAGTTCGGCTCCCGAATCATGGCATTCTTGAAGTTCTCAAACACCCATGCATACGAATTCACGTCTTCTTTTGATATAAGAGCGGCTGCGAAGGTTATACATCTATTGTGATTGTCTATTCCAGTGAAAGGTGCAAACACCATATTGTACCTTACAAAAAATAATTGATATTAGCACCTGCATATCGTAAGTGTGCACTTTTTTAATGTAAATGAAAAACGTGAAATATCATTACCTGTTGGTGCTATACGTGGCATCAAAGGACACAACATCCCCGAAGGAGCAGTAGTTTCGCCTTGATATTGGATCAGCCCAGAAGATCCTCCGTAAGCGTTCTTTCTCATCCAGTTCGTACTGAAAATAGAATGCCGAACTATTATCCTGCCGTTTATAAAACTTATCTATCACCATCTGAGCATCGACTCCTAAAATGTGTGCAAGGAGTTCTCTCTTGAAGTTCTTAAAGTCTGCATTAGTGGCACCAATATGCGCATATCCCCCAACCATTTCCTTGTACAGCTTGAACGACTTTGTGGGACCTATATTTGCTTTTATGCAATTGAGAACAAATCCTTGATGTGCCGCGGTCATTGTCCTGTTGATCTTCAAATGCGCTCTGCATTCTTCAGGGGTCATGGTGTGGTTGTGCCTTTCCTCGAAAAATTTAACTACGTAGCCCTCAACTCCATAAACACGCAGTTGAATTCGGGCATTACAACCAACCCGATTGGATACTCTACGTCTTATTACCCGACTATCGCTGGGTATTCTTTGGCCAGTGTTTGAATGGTGTTTGTACCCTTCGCGTGAGCACACCAAATATCTCCAAAGAACGGTATTATCCTTCGCTTTTACTAACGTGCTTTGTCTAATATCAAAACCAACGACAGATGCATATGCTCGGTAGAAATCAGCAGCCTCACCTAATGTTCTAAAAACCTGTCCTTTGTGAGGTCGAATTGAGTCTTCGCACTGGGGAATCCAATATTTAGTACCTCCAGGTGATATCACGAGCTGTTGGTGTTGTGACGGCCCCGATGGTGTTGGTACTGTAACATTTTATGAAAATCAATCAGATATCTAAAAAAAAAAAAAAACACAATATATATGCTCACATATATATCCATATATGAAGTCCAAAGGCAGTAAGGTGCACATTTAGGTCACTACGATGCACTATATTGCATACTTCATGCACTTTATATCAACATGTACACATTCATGAGAATACTCTAATCACGCTTACGAGAATACGCTTGGACACTATAATCCAAATAAAAAACTTATGCAGTTTAATTAGCATCACTACAAGAAATTACATATATCGTGACAAAATTCATGTGGCGAAAAAAATTTCGTCACCTTCGATTGTCTTATGGTGACGAATTTGACAATTTGTCACTACATTATTGTATACTGCGACGATTACTACTTGCGTCATAATCGAATTCGTTTTTCGTCACATATTCATAATTTACATGACAATACATCTAAATTCGTCATCTTTACATAAAATATGATGAAATTCCATGTGACAAAATAAATATCGTCGTTGTTAAAGGTTTTTAGGATGACACTTTTCAGTAATGCGTCGTAATATAATTTTGTACTGTGACGATATATTACACTACATTTAAATTCGTCACAATAATATATAATATGACGAAGTGCAATGTGACAAAATATATGTCGTCATTTTTATGATATTAAAAATGACGCTTACGGGTGATTCGTCATTATATAATTGTGTCTTGTGACGATACATTAAAATGGATCAAAATCGTCACAATAATACTTTATATGACAAAATACAAAGTGACAAAATATGTGTCGTCATTTTTGCTGGTATTTAAAATGACGTTTACGAGTAAAAGAATCGTCACCGTGTGTTGCCCTATGGTGACAAATGTAAGAAACTATCATTACATCATTGCATACTGCGACGACTACTACATTCGTCATTTTAGAAATTATTTTTCATCAGATAATGGTATTTTTCACGTTAATGCACCTCAGTTCGTCATCTATACATCTACATTCGTCACATGTATATAAAATTTGACGAAATTAAATGTGACAACAAATATCGTCATTGTTCATGTTATTTAAAATGATGCTTATAACTAATTCGTCATTATATAATTATTTATTATGACGATACATTGTAATACATCTAAATTCGTCACATTAATAGATATTATGACGAAATTTAGTGCGACAAAATAAATATCATTGTTTTTTTTTTTATTTATTCAAAATGACGTTTACAAAAGATCCTTGATTTTATAATTTCCTTTTGTGATGATACGTTATAATGCATTTAAATTTATCACATATTGTGACAAAAGTCATTGTGACAAAAAAAGAAAACATTGTTTTTTTTATTATTTAAAATGACGCTCAGCAATTATAATATTTTGATTTGTGACAATGCGTTATAATACATTTAAATTCGTCACATGAATACATATTATGACCTAAAGTCACTACGACGAAAACAAATCATTGTGTTATTATGGTATTTAATATGACTCTTACGAAAAAATCGTCTTTATATACTTTGTTTTGTGATGATAAATTATAATATATCTAAATTCGTCATAATAATACATATTATGATAAAAAAAATTCCGACGAAAAAAAAATCATTGTAATTTTTTATTTATAATGACCGGATCCCACATTCGTGTAAATTCTTTTAATTTTTTATTATTATTTTTTTGCGGAAGTGGCAGCAACCTGCTTACATGTAAATTTCATTTAATTTTTTTTTTTTTTTTTT